CCACGAAGAAAAGGATTTTTGAAGTTCGGAATGTGTTATTCGGAATCAGCGTCCAAAGACGAACCAGAATATGTATTAAAATCGAAAAAATAAAATTCACTTGAATTTTGATCTAGCTGAACCTTAATCAACTCGTCGAGCTCTACAAACTGATATGTATCCCATTCAAAACGGTGATTCACACTTGGGAACCTTCCCTCGTTAGTAATTAAAGATATTACTTTATCATTCGTTTACATAGTAAAATAAAGTTTAGATTTTTCTCTATTCTCCCAATTTTTTATCTTCTAAATGAACTGTTAATTTATTGCACAATGACATCTGCGAGTATCCTGCTGTTATAATCCATCGTTATTGTATCGCTGTTTGCTCAAATTCTAGTGAAAACTGACTCCACTTCGAAACACAGAATATATCGATAGTTTCATATCTACTAGATTCATTTTTTGTTCTTGTTTCCTAGCTCTGATACTTAATGTTTTCTTAATCTGATGTAAAAGTTATCGTTAAATAGTGTTCTATTTTCTTTGTTTATTTTAGTCACATTGATGCCACGCGTGTTACCCATTCGTCCTCATATTTTATGTTGTATTGTTCGACATATTGATTTGAAAACACCTGGAAATATGAAAAAATTTCTCAATTTACAAGTAGGTTGATTATCATTTTAGCTTTTTCTTTTCTTCTAATTAACTATTTCTTTTTTTTTTGTATTTAGAATGAAATTCACGATGATCTATGTGTTAAACGTACAGTGGCTACAATCGCTACACATGATTTAAATTTAATTAAAGGTGATTTAATTTATGATGCATATGATCCAGATGAAATTGGAGTGAGTATTTTATAATAGTCTCTTTTCTCTATTTTTTCTCGTTGTTTGTAGTTTATTCCTCTAGGACGTAACAAACTAATTTCAGCTCGTGATTATTATGATCAATTATGGAAAGAGGCTGAACAAGAACGTAAAGCAAAAAAACGAAACCAATTGTCGGGAATAAACAAGTTCGTTAAATTAACGACAAAATAACTGCAAATATATGATTACCTCTTTTTTTTTTATTGTTTAGATATTTAACTCTACTTACTGATAAACAATATTTTCCATGTTTGGCTGATAGTGAACGGTTTGTTATTTCATTACCACCATTGACAAATTCTGAGAGAACAAAAGTATGTGTTCATATTTTCCATTTATTACTCGTTTTTGATTTTAATATGTCGATAACGATCATTTTTAGATCACTTCTCAAACACAAGATATTCTAATTGAAATAACAAGTTCTCAGACAATTGATGCTTGTAAACGTGTTATGAATGCATTATTACGTGGTATGTTAAAAATACAATTAGGAAAACAAAATGAAAAATTAAAATCATCAAATTCTGATAATATAGTGGAATCAAAGTTTAATAGTTTATCTATAAATGATGATAATAATAAAATAGTTTCACAAATTCATCAAACATTAATTTTACAACAGACTCGTATTGTTGATCAAAATGGTACATTGAAAAATGTTTATCCATCACGTACAGATTTAGAATGGGTACAGAATGAGGCAAGTGTAATTATTGAAAGAACAGTAGAATGAGAGATAATTCTTTCTCTTTTAATGTTTTGCTTTTGTGTATGTATGTTCTATGTTAGATGAACTGTAATGTATGTTACTTTTAGTTTGTAGTATACAACAATAGAAAACCTTCTGTTATTTTTGGCAATAAATGGCAATGTGTATTTCTCTAATTCGTCTTTTTTCATGGATTGATATAATTTTATTTTTTGTCTTACACACAAATATTCTGTTGTGAGATCACGAAAGTGATATGCTTCACATTAGAACTTAGAAGAATGTATCATTTCCTTAGAGAGAGTAATGGTACTCGTTTTTCAGTTTTACTTTGATTTTTAACTGATGCAGCTTTGAAAATCCATTTTTAGTTGACCTATTGCTGCATCTTACATTCGAAAGTTTAATTTTTATATCTGAAAAAGTTACTTAATCCATTGTCAAGAAATTTGCTGCTAAATTCAAAGATTTTGTGATCAAACTTCTATTAAACGTCGTTGTTACTTAATAGTTACTGACATTAAGCACATCTTGATCGAAAAATGTCATTATTTATGGCAATAACATTTAAAAAAAAGCGATAGTAAACTTTTCCCCTAACAGAAGTAACTCTATATTATCTCGCGCTATCTCATTTTACTGTTGTTTTATTTTTCGGTCAGTTTAGTATTCTGTTTTTATTATTTTTAGATAGACTGATAATAATGTATATATTCTAAATGTGTTCATTATACTTCGATTTTCTAAATGCAACAACGGCAAAATTATCACGATGAAAATTATCATTTTCAATCATCATCTACTTCTCAACAGCCATTATCATCATCCCTATCTCAATTAAATTATCATTCTCATCAGCAAAAACCATCTTCATCCAGAATGGTCTTTAATAATAGTACAACGAATGATTTTCGACTCGATATGCATCATCCATCAGCATCATCATCATCATCTATTCCATTAATTCAACAACAACAACAACAACAGACAGAGACATTTGTTGTTGACAATGTGCCATTACCCTCTGTTGAGACAAATGTCGATATCAGTAGAACAACAAGTGGTGGAGCAAATGATGATGAAACATTACATATGAATATGAGTGGTCAAACAGGTGGAATAAGAACCCAGGGGAGAATTGATGTCAACGGTGATCATGTACAACAAATAATCAATGTTTTAAAAGAAAATTTAACATCAACATTTCCATTTGCATTAATACTTGTTTTAAAAGCATTCTATGATCATAGCACTGGTAAGTAGCAACAAATTATTGTTTTTTAAACATTTAAATATAGAAAAAATAATTATTAACTGTATTTAGGTATATTAATGTTAGTATTTTTCTCTGCCAGTATATATCATGCAAATACAGTTATTGTAGAACAAGCAGTACTAAAAGTATGTCTTATTTTTATTTGTTTTTCTTCTTCAATGAATATAATACGTTGTATCCATTTTTAGTCTACTCGTCGTTTATTTCCAATTATTCGTGTTATATCCATATTAACTGTTAGTTTAGTGTTATTCCTATATTTATTTCGAAATGAAAAATTTTACAATAGGTAATTAGTATAATTAAATTAATTACTTATCTATTTATTTCTATTCTATTGTTGTTTTTACTTTTCAGTTTCATATTTTATTTACCAATATATCCTAAATGGGATCTGTGGACACTATTATGGGTATTATTTTCGACATTTTGCATTGTTAAAATGTTTGTCATGTTACTAAAAGCTGTATTAATTTTATTACCGAGTAATAATAGTAAACAGTTCATTTCATATCGTAATCGTGGTTGTTATTTTTCGATTATTGAATATACATCACAATTTTATATTAGTTTATTGACAATTCGTCCATGGATAGCATTTATCCTTGGTAATAATTAAAACTAACAATGAATGATGATGAATTTTTAAACGATTTTTCTTTTAGATGGTAATGATCACAGTATACTATTCAGTGGGGTGATGCTTATATTTTATGGAATCATCAAAGTAAGATAAAAATGTTTTCTTTAAAAAATTAATTTTTTCTTAACTTTTTCAGATTTTAAGTTTAAAACTAAATTTATGAGTACTAATTCATATTTATACAAAATTCAATTGGTATTTTTCGATTGTTTTAAATTTTAAAATACTATAATTAGGCATTTACCCTTTTTCCCAATCAAATTGGTTATAAAGTACAATATATTAAAGATTTCTAACGACTTAATTTTGTAGAGAAAACATTCATCTACAGAATGAGATACGATGGAAATCTTCATCTCTTCTCATTTTTGTCACAATCATTTCTTGGCAAAGAGCTATAATCAGTATCAGGAGCGGATGGATCGTCGGTCGATTGATAAACATTTTTTTATCTAACTACTGAATACATCATTTTGTAGAGAAATGCTTGCTCTACAAAATTCAGTAATTAAAAAAGTTCTAGAAGATCAAATTTACGTTATAAAAAAGCTTTTTTTGAAAGAAAAATAAACACAGAATTGCAACCGGTAAATATCAGTGTATATCGAACTATAATGGACTATATTTTTCAAATGATAAACTGTTTCCTTTTTATAAATTAGTATGATAGTCCTTACATATTTATATATTTTAGTCTTATAATGTATATAAATCAGTTGTGGCATTGAAACAAAGAATTCATGAATCTTTACAATCACTAGTAAGTGCAAAATAACTCACGTGTATTACACTTTTATTATGATCTTTTTTCTCTCTCTAGCCATTTCCATATGCCACATCCAGTGAATTAGCACATGTAGAAAATATGTGTCCAATATGTCGATTTGAATATCAAGATGCAATACTTCTTCCATGTAGAGTGAGTATTTTATCCAAATAGTACAGATGATTCTACTGTTTTCTTGTTCTTTTTGTGAAAACTTCCTAGGACTTGTCCATTTTCCGAAGGAAATGGAAGTTTGAAGTCTAAAGTTTATGTACGAAGATTTTTGTGGTGTGTAAGGGGTTTTTTGTCAACAGCTGTAAACGCTCGGGGTGAAATTGTAATTGATCAAATTTCAATATAAATTTAGTGTTTTACAGCTACTGAATGGACTAGTAACAGACAGTGTATTGTTGATCTGACGTTATTGGACATAAGTTTTAAAAATTATTATTATATCTCTTCATATGAACAGAAAAAAGAAGCTATTAATTAGAAGTTTCTGTCGCGCACTACTATTCTTGTTTAACTTCGTTCTATTTATACATGTTCTATGTTATAATTCAACAGTTCAATAGAAAGTTTTCACATTTTTGCTTCCTAGAAGCAACGTTGACAAGCTTTTATACTCTTTTACTCTTTGGATTCTTTTGTTGTAAAAAAAAAGTTCACGGAATGTCGAACATGTATTTCTCATATTTTCTAGCATATATTTTGTGAAGATTGTGTAACTGATTGGTTAGATCAAAAAGCCAGTTGTCCATTGTGTCGAGCGAAATTGACAATTAGACAGTCAAATTTTCGTGCTGGATCTACGAGTGGCTATTTAATATGGTACTAAAATTGAACAGTATGTATCATTGTATATGTAAATATATATATATATATATATATCAGACTAAAAAAATATTATTTTTTGATTATCTGATTTGCTTTTTTTTTTTGGAGAAAAACTTATACAATTCAGAAGTTTTTTTTAAAGTTTTCTATCTTCTATTTTTTAAACTGTTTAATTTATTTTTACACGAACATGTTTTGTTTGGTTCTTTAGAATGTCTATTAAACTTGAGACGAAAATTATTAAAATTGAGAGTTAAAAAAATGGGCTTGATGTTTATTATTTACTAGCCTAAAGAGCAATAGTGGGTATCAACACTGAAATAGCGCTTACATACCGTAAATATCTCAGATATGGTAATTAATACACAAAAACAACAAACGTTATAAAAACCTTTTTCTCAGCATTCTCGTTCAATGTGCAGTAAAAAAGAAAAAAAAGAAAGAAAAAAGGAAGAAAACAACAAATATGTTCATATACACTGTTAAAAACTAATCTAATATTATAACATCACTTTGTCTTTCTAATGACATTATTTTTGGATAATGATCATCTGAAGGTATTTCATAGACATCAGGTGACATTGGTTGTTGTTCAATACCAACATAAATTGTCTGTAATATAGTTAATTCACGTTCTTGTTGATGTTTTAATTCAATACTGTTTATTTCTCGTTGACGTTTAACTGAATCAGGTAAAATTATTCGTATTAAATTTAATGGAGATGTTCGCGCTTGTTTTAAATAATGAAATTCTTGAACATTGTCCAATTTTGACATGGAGATTTTTTTATTCACATTATTTGAATAATGAACATCAACATGACCATCTTGCTCATATAGTCTTACTTCTACTAATTTTGTTGCCCAAATAACTTTCTTCTTTGTGGCTGTTGAACTTCTTATTATCGATGGATCGATCAAATTACTTTTTTTCACTAACACAAAAACAAAAATATAAACTTTTTTCGATAATATTAATTATGAACATTCATTCTTACTTAATTTTACACTTGATATAGGATCATCTGACTGAACCTGTGACCTTTGTATATCTGTTTTGTTAACAGAGGGAGAAATCTAAATATAAAAAGTGTCAACAAAATCGATTTTTGGTTTGTTATGCACTACTATCCATCTTCTAAAAGAATATGTGCGCTTATTTTTTTTGAATAAAAACTCTTAAACATTTTAGACGATTTTCGGTTTTCTTCATTGTACACAGTCAGGACTTGACCGCTTCTTTTCTTTTATCAAAACATGGTGGAAAGTACTACCTACAGGTAGTGTATCTAATTAGCCTTTCAAGGAGTAGTTTTTTCCATCCAAAAACGTTTCACGTCAATGCAGGCTTTTCAGCCCAGAACGTTATCTATACTCTAATTCGGGAGCGCTAACTATTATAATCTGGCAGAGGGCTCAGTTTCTACCTAATAGAGTTATAGAACCTCAAAGACATATGGAAACATACGTCATTGTCCACATTCTCTCTCATGACAACGTTTATTTTCATTAAAGATTGTAAAAACCTTTAGCGGACAGAAACTAATTTTGGCTATTTTTACAGATAATTAAAACGTTCATAAATTCAAACTATTGACGAACATTTAGAAATATCATCTATTTTATCCGTACTGTAGCGTGGTGTTCAATAAAAGTTTCAAAAACCAATAGAAAATATTTTGATTTATAGAAAGATTTTCTGAAAACAAATTGTCGGTACAGATATAGTGAAAACTGAAAATCGCTATTGTTTGTCGTTCAAAAATTACTCAAAAAATAGCCACCACGTATATTTTGTTAAAAATTGAAGCGTACGTACTATTACTTGTTTGTCAAATGAAATAGTAGATACACCAATCGGAACAGAAGAAGACAAATGAGAGCCATTTTTACGTTGATGATATTCGTTAAGTGAAATATGTTTTTTTTTTGTTGTTGGTGTTGGATGAATAATGTCATTTAATTTTCGTTTTTGATGATTTTGCGAACGACGATTTAATGATAAAGTTGATAATGGTCGGTTTTTATCGTGGGAAAAAAATGACGATACTTGCTGCTGATGATGGTTCAGTTGCATTTTAACCGATTATGGACGACTATCTCTAGATATCTAAAATAAAAGTATCGAAAATATATGCATTCTTTTTGATAACATTTGCTCGAGTTCATCAGAACTTCACAAGAACAAAATAATCAACGTGTTCGCAGTTCTTAGAATGCTCATTTATAAAATCTAGGTAAACATTGACTTTTATCACTTGTTCCCTCTCAATTAATATCAGCTGACTTCTATCCTCCTTTATAAATGACCATTATATTACGTTTTGTTTAACATTGACCTCTAACTCAACAACTTTTACATGTTTTCTTCAACGTGTTCTCCTCCTATACTATCTCGTCGTAGATAACGATTTACATATCATTCTGTGCAAAAGAATATGAACGAAAATTACTGATTGAGTCGTTACCATCATTTACATCTTTGAACTGCTCTTATTTTACCTCTTACATCCTCTTATTTATGTTTTCTGTCTGAATAAATAAAAAGGAAGCAGACAAACATGGATTTTCATATCGTCAAATAAAAACCAAAAAAGAATGACAGACAAAAAGTAAACAAACGAACTTTAAGAGAAAGATAAAACACTGTTTATGTATCACTAACTTGTTCAACTCATTTTTGATATACTATCGTGTATTTAAATTGTTTACGATACAATCACTAAGAAACATTTTATTTTTTTTCACTATTAAAATGGAAAAAGATAAAATATCTCATTATGATCGAACGTCACGACTAATTTCATGATTTTTGATTATATAAACGAAACTAACTTGAGTTTACCAAAATAATATTAATTGTAGCAGGAAATTCTTGAGTTAACTTACATGAATAGTGAGAGAAAATTTGTAAGAGATCAGTTCTTGAATTCATTAATTTATCCATAATTTAAATCGAGTTATAATAATAAATGGCTTTAAGACAATTTTCTCTTCATCTAAAAATAAACAAACTAGGCAAAAATGTATGATGACATAAATGAAGTAATCTCAAACTAGCTGTTATTATTCTTTCGATAAGCAACTTCAAATTAAAGATAAATGATTTTTTTATCTCTATGTATTAGTGTATCATCGTTTATTTTGTAGTTTGGAGAGATGTTATCGTTCGCAGTATGTAGGAAAAGGCGTAATTACTTAGTGACGTAATAGGTATTTTTTTTGGCCCAGAAACGGTACTGACAATGTTGTGTACACGTCAAAGTGGCTTAAGGCAGTCAAAGAAAAGATTTCATTCGACTTAGAGTATTTTTTTCCGTGTTTCACAAGTAAAAAACACAGTAAAAAGAAGTTATTCTAGTTTAACACAGAAACATATCTGACTGTTCAAATAGCATCGCTAACTGTAATATAGTACATCGCTGTAATATAATACATCGCTAATGTAATATTTTCTTTTAATTCTCTGATCTTTCACGGTGTTTATCTTTCTTCATATGCTGTACTATCAACTGCCATCCTTTATTCCCACAATTTAATTTGCCCGTTTTACACACTGTACATACGAATGTTGGTTGCTTCCTTAGCATCTTGCTTTAACCATCGTCTCACAGAGACTTCATTTACTGTTTTCTGTCATCACGAGTGATTGAATTTTGTTTCCTATGAAGGCATTGAAAAAAAATATATCTGAAACTGCTTTTAGATCTAAAAATAGCGTGAATTCTAGTATTTTTGCTAAAAAATCTCGAAAAAAGAGGAGCATTACAAACCCAGACATCTGCGTTGCAGGCAGGAGCCAGTTTTTTAAAATGAAATGCTCATTTGATAAATCGAACTTGTGAATATACAATTTTAATGATGATTTATCATCCATGGACAACTCTCGATCTTGTAATTCGTTCATAGACATGGCCAACTAATGCTAATCTCTAGTTTAAATCTATCACTGACCATCAGATCAAATGATCGCATAACACTTGCGAATAGTTCGGTACGTACTAATGTTCTTTCCGTTTTGATAATTCTCAAAGTTTTAAGAACTTGACGAAGTTTCGCGCGTTTTTTCACTAGCTGCTCCGTTTCTTATTTCCGTGTATACAGGGTGAATTTGTTCGAGAAGTTGGTTTGTAAGAAAGCAACTTTTAACCATCATACACTACATTGAAAGTACTATATCTTGGTGAATAAGAGAAAATTCTCTCCAAACAACACTAATGTACACGTTTTTTTTCGGATTTAATGATTTCAACGGTTGCACTCTTCTCTTTGACAAGCTCGTTCAAATCACGTGTATTCATTATTCTACAGTTAGAAAACAATTAACACAAACTTCAGTCATTCTACATCAGAAAAGAAGTGTTCATTTTCTCTATGAATGAAGAACTCTCGCGCGCGTTAGCTAAAAATTCGTTCTTTTTTTCTGTTGCATGTATTTGTTTTCGTATTTACACTTGCCAGAAGATAGCACGTGCAAGTATACAATAAAATAAAGAAGAAAGAAATTGAATTCTATATAACCAATACTTCTTTAGACTAGATATCTATTCTTTCTGATAGCTAAATGTATCGTACATAATTCTTTTCTTATACAAATTGTCGAAGAATAACTTCAAATCTGGACTGATTAAAACGAATAATTTTCTGCTACCTATGTCCGTCCATATTCATGAACAAATAATCAAAACGAAGAGCTGTCCATCTTATTTATGCAGATCTCTGAATGGAGTAGTAATGGAACAATAGACAACAGAAATTTCGCTGAATACAAAGGACACGTTTTATAATTTAATTTCTCATACGTAATTTCTCTTTATTTCTAATGTTTTGACTTCCGTTGAATGTTTAAATTAGGCGTTGCTGTTCTGTTCGCTGATGCGTGTTGAGCTTCATTTTTTATAGTGCCATCCAAGGGCGTCATGACCGTGGGAACAGGGAAGGTAGCCCTTTTGCTTTTTAGTGTCTACTTCACAACTGTGAAGAGCTTATTATAATTTTGTAAAAAATTTACTCTGAAATCAGATATTATTACTACCTTATTCTCATTTCAAAGTATTTAACTTACTCTCATTTTGAAATTGAGTTGAACAGAAAAAAAGAATTCCCAAATTTACTTTAAATCATTTTGAAAACAGCTCCTCTGCTTTTAATGCTTCTAGTCATATTCTGAAGACAAGGAATAGAGATATAGTAATACCTCGAAGAATTTACTGGATTTTTCAAAGATACATATATCAGAGAGTTCGTGCGTCTCTATTAAAACATTTTCCATTATCTATCTGGCGATATCTAATACCATTAACTGAATGCGACTCTTTTCTACTGGATTTTAGCAATGTATTTTAGAAAGATTCCATTTTTCAATCTCAGAAACTAATGCTGATAGTAGTAAACAAGAAGTTTTTTTACAATTATCTAAATTTGACTTTAGTTAGAACTTCAGTTAGTATATGAATATATCAACTACTACTATTTAGAATAATTCTAAAATTGATCTAAAATGAAAGATAAAAATTCCTGTATGAGACTAATAATATGATTAAAAAACTGATAATTTACAAATAAAAAGATAATGTATTTAACTATCTTCTCTGTACTTACTATTACTGAAATTATTCAGACACTAATGACAGTTTTTAATCACAAAATTTTCTGTTGCACATGAATTCAGTAAATGATATTAGATATTTTGCATTGAATGAAAGTTGTAGATTGTTCAGTTATATAGGTTTATCTATGTAAATGTGTCTAATTAAGTTATAAGTCAAAATGAAACTATTAGATTGTCTGCCTGTTTTTTTCATTTTTTAGTGGAAATGTTCATTCAATTTTCCTTCTCGTATTCTAACAAGATTCTTGTTTCTTGCCACATGTTTCAAATATGTCTTTGTTAAGAATCTTGTCTGATTAAAGATTTGAATTAGATAAACATATCAGTTGACAAAAAGTTGCAAAAATCGAGAGTTGTTCATAGAATTGGGCAAGCTTCTTCAGAAAAAAAGGTCGATATTTTTAGCTTTTTAGGAACGACACATTTTTGAGATGAAAACAGAAAAAAATGTTCATGCAGTTCTATATACTTGATCTATCATGGCAGATTCAGATTCTTATCTGAAACAGTAGAGGAGAGGACAAGAAACTTGATAGAATATCGAGAAGTAGACTATATGGGGTACGTAAATTATTAAAAAAGGACAGTGGAAGATATAAGGAGAATCGATAGCAAAAAACTTTTCTTAGCAAATGACTTTTACAAAGTTTTTGTGAAAATTTGATACTTAAGAAAAACCAGAAAAGTTTCTGAGTTCAATAAAAGCCCAGGTCCAATAATCAGATACCTTGGAAGATCTTACAAGATCATATACGATCTTGGAGAATCATATGGTAAGAAATCACAAGATTTCAAAAGATCTTATAAATTCTTATGAATTGCCTGTAAGATCTTACAAGATTTCATATGACATCTTGTAGCAAGATTCTTATAAGATTTTTCTTATGATAGAAATGTACAAGATCTTCTATGATCTTATAAGATCTTACAGAACGAAACTGTAAGAAATTATCTGACCTTATAGAAAGTCACAAGATTTTATATGATCTTAGAAGATCATACGCTTGATCATTTCCTGTCGAATCCCTCTGTACCTCTGCAATTTTCTTTTTCTATATAATTTCTAACATGCACAGATCCTAGGTGGCCATAGGACCGTCTTTTGTCACGTTTCTTAACCGTGCACTTCATATGTGCTCAACTGACAAGAGTGAAGCTGAAAAGAGAAAGTTTTAAGTTTTTCAAAGAGAATGATATTATATACTGTATATCGTCACAAAATTTATGTGATAGAGATAAGTCATCGATCGTATGAGATTTATAAGATCTTATGACAAGAATTCATATGATCTGGTAAGATCTTAAAAAATCTTGTGGCAAACATTGTTGACTTCTATATATTTTCTTGTCACAAGGTTATATAAAATCTTACAAGATCACATAAATTCTTGTCATAAGATCTTACAAGATCCTATCACTTCTTATAACCAGATCTTACGACAAGAAGTTACAAGATTCCATAAGATCTTACATTATCTTATAACAAGATCTTGTAAGATCATATCGTAAGATCTTATTACAAGATTTCAGAAGAAAACATCAGATCTTGCAAGGTCTTACAAGACGTGGCTCACCTGGGAGCTTAATAGCCTAAATCATTATTGAAAAGACTGAAATAATATTCACTCACAGAGCAAAAAAAACTGAGTCGTGCGCTCAATAAGATAAATCCTTCTAAACGGAATCAAGCATCTGATGAAGCGAAAGGGGACTCGCAACGCAAATACACGAGACATATCATCGGATCGAAAAATTTTAAAAGTTTGTTCAATCAAAACCGACTGCAGATTCGTCTTCTCTATGATCGATTATCTGGTACATGTCTTACTCAAAAATTTTTCAAAAAGCTACTGTATGGGATCAAAGGCAAAACGATATCGAAAAATTTCTCCAAAGTACCCTGATTCAAAAGTTATCGTGTACCAGATAATCGACCATGGAGAAGACGAATCTGCAGTCGGTTTTGATCGAACAAGCTTTTAAAATTTTTCAATCTGGTGATATGAAAGTATGACCGTGATATCAATCACTGCTTTCAGTACTTTAGTGGGAGTTTTACTCAGATTTCTATTTCTATTGATCGAGAAGCGGTTCTAATGCTATATTTAACTTATTCTTAACTTGATTGAGTTAAAATTGCTTAAAAAATAATTATAGGAAACATTTTTCGTAGCGCATTGTTTCGACGAATCCTGTTGGACGAGTTCAATTAGAACAAGCACTTTACGAAAAATGTTTCCTATAACTTTTTTTAATCGATATTTTGACTTTTGTGATCGGGATAAGAGGATGAAAACGGAGAACAGTATCTCTGATGGTATTTTGTGGAGCTCGGCGAGTACTACAAATGGGAGAAAAACAAAAATATTCTGAAAAATATTCTTCCAGTTTTTGTGCTGTGGGACCTGAAAATTGACTGTTTAAAAAAGAGTCTCCAAAGATGGGCTTCATACTCCAAGAGGAAGATAGATATTGACCTTATTCTTTTTTATCTGTAGTGCAAGAACGTTTTGTTTTGTTTTGCCTTCAGAAAAGGTGAAATACTGAGTGTCATTTTTTCATTTTCGGCCATTTTGTGACAACTGCTCTGCCATTGTAAAAGTACTAGGACAAGTTTTTAATATTAGTATTTGTACTATTCGAAATGCTCTTTCGTGTGGTATGTCCAACGGAGATGTAAGCTCTGTAGAGACAGAGAAAAACAAGATCAAAATTGCTTTATTAGAGGAAAGGTCGAAACTTGACATTCCTGCAAAGGCATGTAGAATATTACTTTTTAGTGAACAAATATGGGATTCTGTGTAACTTTTTATGTTCTACACGAGAAGAGTCTTGAAGTTTTTGTGGCTATTATGTCATGTAATGGTGGGCGGACCTAAATGGACGTATCCGGAGGAAACGGAGATTGCAAAAGTTAACATGGAGGGAAGAAAGATTAAAAAATGCAAAAAATAGTTGACGTCATCTGTATAAAGCCCCAAAGTGAATACAGTGCCACTAGTGGAAGAATAATTTTTGTATTCAAATTAAAATATGAAATAAGACTTCAAGGTTGACGAAATTTCTTGAAAATGATTGATGAAGACGTCAGCGTTAAGGAGGAGGACAAACTTTAAGTCAATACTATTTATTTTAGTGCCAAACCTAAAAGTGAGGGTAGAAAAACTAGTGTTTTCTGGTAATTACGTGAAACGATGTAGAACAGATGATACTCGATAATTCAGTAATGTACTTCTATATCCAAATGAGTAATAAATAGCAGTTACACGAAGCGGTAAATATTGTTATTACTTTTCTTTTTATGGCAGATTGCCAACTGTTATTCAAGTTTGTCATTTAATTAAAATTGACAACCAAATTATTTTGAAAAATTTCTTTTAGGTGTGATGCATGTAAGATTGTAGTATGGAACAAGTGAATAGAAGATTATGAGTGGATGTACCCATTTATGGCTTTAGATTGAACAAATAGTGTGTAAATGATAAACATGAAGCATACTAAAATTTTGTGTCGAGAAATGATAGTTCATTTAAATGGGGATAATTTTCTACCGGAAAAAGAATACTTAAGCGATAGACAATAGGCAGTTTTCATTAAAAAAAAACGTGAAATTTAATCATGTATAGCATGGAACTAATACATCGAATAAGGGCAGAAGACGTTTCAGATTACAAAACATACGTTCTTTCGTTGATATTGATGATTCATTAGCAATTCAATTCAGGGATGGACAAGTCAAGCCATTTTTCGAGTCGAGTCGAGTCAAGTCACCGGTGTTTCCGAGTCGAATCAAGTCGAGCCAAATTATTTTTTCGATTATTTCGTTTTCTGTTTATTTTGATGTTCACGACCATATGAATACATAGACAGAAAAGCTGTTGAAAAAATTGTTCTAATGCAATATATTCCATTAGGAAAAAAGTTATTAAGAAGTGATAATTTAATCGTATAAATTGTAAATTTTTTATAAGAGCAAATGAACATCTTTTTTAATGAATGACTCGAGTCACACAGACGAGTCAAGGCTGCTCAGTTTTCGAGGCCGAGTCAAGTACGAGTCTTGAACAAAATGCGACTCGAGTCGACTCGAGTCCAAGTTTTGACTCGGACTCGCCCATCCGTGATTCAATTGGTTCATACACATGTCACTGTAATATGGGAGAAGTAGAGATTTTTCTACTAAAATAACAACACTCGTGGAATAAATAAGTATAGTATTCTATAAGAACATTAAACTTAGAATACAATGTTTATATTACTCGTCCAGTATTCAAATTGCAATTAAACTGGAAGTAAATAGTATTAACTATAATTGAATAGACCAGCCTCGTTCGTAATATATATATATATATGTGTCGGAATTCATGTTAAAATCTAGTAGAGTTTAAAACTGAACTAGTTCAGATAGAAATTCTCATTAGAACTACGTGAAATCCAAATTTTGAACATGATTCAATCATGTAATCAATGATTGAATAGTATCATTTTGTATTGTTACCATATATAATACTTTATGATTTTAATTTGAACTATTTCATTTTCTAACATGATCTAGTTTATTTTAAAAGCCGTTTAAAAATGAACTACTATCCGAAATAAACTACTATCCGTTCAAAATACAGTATATAGGGTTGCTTTTTGAATAATTCAAGAACATTCCACAGAAATCCGAGCTGGCTTTTCAACAATTCCCGAGAAAACCTCTTATGAAATTTTTTTGTTGAAAATGTGTTTACTTATAAAAACACCACTAAAAGTTTTGGCTATCGACTAGTGAAAAGCGCAAGTCTGTACTGCTTTTTATTCTTGAGTTATTCAAAAAATAACCCTGTATACTGTATTTTGAACGGATAGTAGTTCATTTTTAAACGGCTTTTAAAATGAACTAGATGATGTTAGAAAATGAAATTCAGTTCAAATTAAAATCATAAAGCATTATATATGGTAACAATACAAAATGGTATTATTGAAGAATGTTTTGAATCAGTGAGTTTTCTTGATCATACAACGACAAATTTTGCTCCATTACATCCTCTTAATTAACTTTACAATATCAAAACAATATCATTTCGTATACTCTAGTTTTAAGTGAATGATACTGAATCGTAAATTTTAATTTTGCCTATTCCAGTTTTAAACTCAGCCAGATTTTAATCTGCACTTCGATGTATATATATATCGTAAACTCAGAGGATTGTGAGGATCAGTGAGGATGCCGAGTATTATTGAATCATACATTTTATTTATCTAATTTTATTCTTTAGAAATCGATTAAAAGACTCGATTAGTAAAAAAAAAACACTTTTCTTTCTTCTTACATCGTTGTATAGTTCTATTCATGTCTTGGACAATAACGTGTCATTTCTGGTATTGTACATAGATTTTGACAGCATGATTCAGTAATGAGTTTTGGACGAGTGTTCGACGCTAACAAGCCTAGTGATGAACTGCTTCGATCATTCCTGTGGTCATTTGTTGATGGCGTTCTTTTTTTGATAAATTGTTCAGCTATTGAGCAAACGATTTTTAACATATGAAAAATATTTGGTCCACATGCATGATAGGCGCGACTCAATTGACATTCTTCAACTTTATAAAATTTTGAATTAATGTCAATTATTTCATCTTCTTTCAGCATTTGATCATTATACTCGATCGTACACAGAGGACGATTATTGGCATCTACTTCATCTTTTGATAAACGTTGTCTATATGTAACGCCTACATCTTTAATTGTATATTCGGTGCCATCTTGGATACTTCGTTGCTGTAATGGTTGACGATAGTCGTTAGATGATGAATCAAGAACATTTTCTAATTTTTTTAAATTGTTTGAATATGGTGTATAACAATAGATAGTTGTTGGTGTATAACATAGTATTGTAAAAAAGAATATAATGGCTAGATTGAACATGATGATAAACGCTATTCTTAAAATGCTGTTTATTGATGAATGTAATGTATGTGGAGTAATAAAAGAAGTGAAAAATAAATATAACTTTAGAAAAATTTATACACTTAATTTAATTGAAAAAAATAATTATCTTCTGCTTAGACATTAGACAATAAAATATTCATGAATTTTTGATTAAAACCAATTCTTTCTTTCTTCTCTTAAATGGTGTCAACAGGGAGGTTATTAATGATCATACAGTGTTTGTTTGTAGCATGTGAAAATTCAAGAATTGTTTTGATATCTATTATTCGAAAGATGGTACCAGTAGAAAAATCCCGATACATGTTGCTCATGCTCAAGTTTTAACGTAGTGTTTATCACAGAATAATGTCAATAAAGGCACCTTTTAAAACTAATGATTAGTACATACAATACATAGTTGGTTTTTTGTTCTTAACACTAAACTTGTTTCAATTACTGTTGTATATGAAAAATAGGTGCAATATCATTGCTTTGTGATCTGATGGCAATTTTCTGTTGATATCGTATAGTATGTTTCATCCAGAGGAGACATATGTCGGATAATTTGGTGTTATCTTGCGTCGTTCTCATAATTTTCAGATGATTGTTTTTGCATTTGATAGAGGAGATGCTTGTGTACGCTATAGACAGAAGATTTTATCAAAAGTTTTTGTCTCTAGGTGTCATAGTTAATTTTAAAATTAATTTAGCCCATAAAATATACTCAAATTAACATCGTACATAGTGTGAAGCCAGTATGATAGCTTATCCACTAGAATAATGAGTTAATTTTCACATATGTGATAGAGTTCAGCAGTCTGAAGAACTTTGTCACTTGGTCTAATACTAAATTCGGCTTCTGAGAGTCGGTAAAGGTTTGTCTCTGACCATTCCGTGTATTTCAGTGGAGTGC